TGGTCTTATAACAGCTCATGATACTGAGAGGTCAGGCTCTTTATTCTTTCTAGACAGCATCTCCTTAATGCCACTGTCAGAGACAGCACTAAATCAGATAGATCAGAAGACCATTTCTTGTGACGGGTTGGCTGTTCATTCATTTTTTAAAGTATTGAATATTTTTTTGCCTGCACAAGAAGTCCTGTTGATTCTACCAGTGTTACAGGGCTTGTATGCCTACTGGGAGTACTTTCTCTAAGGCAGTAACATGAATGAATCTTTCTTGTAAGTTATTAGCAACTGTTTTTCTTTTCAATTTCCTCACTACAGGTTGGCTTATCAAGATGACTGTGGAAAACCGTGTTGCTGAACTTGATGAACTGATGAATGAAGATGCCTATGAGAAATACATAAAATCCATTGAGGACTGAGCTGGAATAATGAAATAAATCCGTATAAAATATTCCAGTGTAGTTTGTCATCAATCAGTGAAATAGAGAATATAAAGTTGGCAACCTGAAAAATACCACTTATGATCACACATACAAGGCCATAGCAGTGATAAAAATGTTTAACGTCTGCATACCAGCAAGAGTTTTTTATTCTAGATTGTCAGATTTATGTAACTTCAGGATGTTATGTATGATATTTTGGGAAACAAAGTTTATTTGCTAAAATACATACTTCCGAAGATTCATTTGACAATCAGATTTAGTAACAGCCTTAATATGGTAATTCTGTTGTAGACATGTGACTGTTCTCATAACCTGGACTACAGCTTTCCCAGAAATACTTTTCTATTGCTCCCAAGACACTGAAAAGCAGTGCCTTCCTAATATTTTTCCTAATCCTAGTTGCAAAGATGATACCAAAAAGGGGGAAGCCATAACAACTACCTCTTTGCATGATTTTTAGTTCATTACAGAATCTATTAATACTTTGTTTTCCTTCTTCATTTTACTATGTAATCAAAGAATTCTGCCTTTGAGGCAGAAGGGTATGGTCCTTCTGATTTATGTGCTTTCTTAGTATGCAAAACTCATGCAATGATAGTTTACCAAGGTTCTTGAGCGGTTTGTTTAAGCTGTATTTTTTTGTCTGGTAAACACTACCTATGTCACAAGTAATTAAGGAATTCTACATCTTGTGCCTAGCAATTGTGATTTCAGAAGAGTAGATACTTTTGCAAATTATGTGATCAGTAATAGTTTGACATATAATGCATCCATATGTGTCTGTCTTTAAGATCAAGTATGTACACTGCTGTAATGACATCACAGGAATGAAGCTGAAACTTTTGCTTTGCAAATGAGTCAACTAAAGCAGCTGATTCCATTAGACTTAATATTTAATGAATCCACAACTGTGCACTCAAAGTTTTCCACAATTTTAAAATAGTGATTAGAAGCTAAGCGCAAAACAGAAGCAAAAACCAAGTACCTGTAAGTTGATCTAAGAGGAAGCAGGGGAAGGTTTAATCCATATAAGATGACAAAGGCAAAATTCATATTCCTTTGGAAGTCACTTCCAAAAGCACAGCCCTTCTAAAGGGCAGAAATACGCCGCAGGTTATACAGAAACCTTTCTAGTGTATAAAAATGTAGGTCTGTCTTTTAAGATCTGAAGGGATGTCAAAGTAATTGGTGGGGTTTTTAAATCCTAGGAGCTAATTTTTCCTACACAAGTCAGAGATAAAAGCCCTGCCAAGAGACACTCCACTGTGTATTTAGGATAAAACTATCTTCTCCCTAGGAGTTAAACTGCAAAGTGACTCAGAGGAAAGAGCAGGTTTGACTGTTCCACAGGAGTCCTAACTTGGCAGTGGCTGATAAACCAAAAAGCTCCAGTAAACCTAGTGCAAATGCTTTAAAAACTGTCAGTACTTATCCATTATACACAGTATCATGCAGTATTTATTGTGACAACATTCCCGGCCCAGAGAGCTAGGAGCTTGATCCTGGCCTCTTACAGCTTCCCTCTC